TGGCTTTAATTCCAGCACTCAGGAGGCAGAGGCTGGTGGATCCCTGAGTTTGAGGCCAGTCTAGTCTACAGAATGAATTCCAAGACAGCCAGGGCTACTCAGAGAAACCCTGTCTCAAAAAAATTTTAAAAAAAGAGAAAAAAAAATAATCTAGATTGAGAAAATACTTTTTTTTCTGTATGTGTATATGTATTTGCATGTGTTGGGGCATGTGTTGTGTGTCCAAATGTATTCACATATGTATGCTTATAGAGATGTCTGAAATTGATATCAGATGTCTTCTTCTATACTTTGTTTATTGAAGGTCAGGATCTTTCGCTGACCTGGAGCTTGCCAGATACGGCTAGAGCAACCAGCTTGCTCTGGATCCTGTCTCTGCCTCCAGAGTCCTGGGGTTATAGGTGGCCACCATTCTTGTACAGGTGGCCTGTCTTGTACATGGGTTCTGGTGATCTGAACTCTGACCCTCACACCTTAGCCACTGAGCTATTTAGGAGATACCATAGCTGTCAAAAGTGAGAGTTTTTGGTTTTAAACCAAATTAAATCTCAACTCTACCTCCTTTCAGTTGAGAGACCTTGTGTAAATCTCTCCAACCCTGATTTTTATTTTTAAAATTTTGGAAGGAATACCAGCCTTACAGGGTTATAACACCAAGCCTCAGGTCTGACCCATAATATATGCCTAGTTCTTTTCCCTTCCTTGGACCCTAGGCCACCACATATTTACACCCATCTCACTCCATCCTTCCCTTTTCAGGATGGCTGGCTTTGATGGCTCAGCTTGGGATGAGGAGGAAGAAGAACCACCTGACCATCAGTACTATAATGACTTCCCAGGGAAGGAACCCCCTCTCGGTGGGGTGGTAGACATGAGGCTTCGAGAAGGAGCTGCTCGACCCACTCTGCCCACTGGCCAGATGCCCAGCCACTTGGGAGCTACACTGGTAAGCTTCGAGGATGGAGATCTCAGTCCAGGGTGGGGATGGCTGGCTAGGGCCTTGGTCTCACCTCATTATAATTTTTTTTACAGCCTATAGGGCAGCATGCTGCAGGAGACCCTGAAGTCCGTAAACAGATGTTGCCTCCACCACCTTGCCCAGGTAGTAACAGTTTGCTAAATGGGACAGAGATGATTACAGAAGGTAGGGCTGGGATTGACGTAGTCTGTGTCTTTCCTTAACAGGCAGAGAACTCTTCGATGACCCTTCCTATGTCAACATCCAGAATCTAGACAAGGCCCGGCAAGCTGGGGTTGGGGCTGGGCCTCCCAATCCTTCCATTAATGGCAGTGCACCCCGAGACCTCTTTGACATGAGTGAGTGAGTCTCTTGTAGCCCTGCCTTCCTTTGTTCCTCCTTTTCTGCCTATTTGTTCTTACCTACTGACTTCCTAGAGTCTGAGTCTTGGGTGTATGTTGGGCCAATTCTACTAGCCATCTCTCTACACCCTTAGAGCCCTTTGAAGATGCCCTTCGGGTGCCTCCACCTCCTCAGACCATGTCCATGGCTGAGCAGCTCCAAGGGGAGTCCTGGTTCCATGGGAAGCTGAGCCGGCGGGAGGCAGAAGCACTGCTGCAGCTCAACGGTGACTTCTTGGTTCGAGAGAGCACAACCACACCTGGCCAGTATGTGCTCACTGGTCTGCAGAGTGGGCAGCCCAAGCACCTGCTTCTGGTGGATCCTGAAGGTGTGGTAAGTGGCAGAGGTGTATGTGGCGGGTGGTAGAAAAAGCTACCTTTCCTCTCCTTATTTTTTTTTTTTTTTTTTTTTGAGGCAAGATTTTTCTGTAGCTTTAGTCCCAGCACTTGGGAGGCAGAGGCAGGCAGATCTCTGTGAGTTTGAGGCCAGTCTCCAGAGTGAGTTCCAGACAGGTTCCAAAGCTACACAGAGGAACTCTGTCTTGAAAAAACAAAAAAACAAAAACAAACAAACAAACAACTGACCTGCCTTACCTAACCCTAACCCCAGATCCCTCATAACATATCCTACTCCCTATGCATCCCCTTACAGCTTTGTGCCTTCGACTGTCTCCTAGATCTGTAGGAACTCTCTGCAGTTCTCAGGCCCTTCATACAACCTTGGTTTCTTTTCTTTTCTCAGCCTCTTTCCCACACTGTTTTTGTACTGTGTGGGAAATGTATCCTCCATTGAGACATACCAGTTCCTTCAAGTCACAAGTTTCACTGTTTATCAGCTTCCCATTCTCTGAGTTTACTGACTCCCATGTGTGTGAAAATCTTCTCTGTAAAGAAGCCTCAATAATCATGGCTGACCTGCTCCCCTACCCCCCATCTTCCTTAGTCTTGAGGGCTAAGGTCTTACTGAACTCTTCACTTGAACTGATCCTCTTATTTCCCACCTTCCCAGGTTCGGACAAAGGATCACCGCTTTGAGAGTGTCAGTCACCTCATTAGCTACCACATGGACAATCACTTGCCCATCATCTCTGCGGGCAGCGAACTGTGTCTACAGCAACCCGTGGATCGGAAGGCGTGACCTCTTCTTTCCTGGATGCCTTCCATCCCTTTCTACCATGTTCTCTAACTCCTGGGACCTCTGTTCTGTAGGGCTGGCCTTGGGTGGGAGCTGGAAGCAGTGTGGCCACTGGGCTTAGTGCCCACCTGAGAGAGGGGGTTTTAGTTAGGAACCTGGGGTAGCATCCTGCTTCTGCCCAAACCTCACCAAAGTATTAATGTACAGAGTGGTCTCTTGCCTGGGCCCTGTCTGTGCCAACCTGATGCCCTTTCCCCCAAAGGGTAGGTTCTTACAATGGAAATGTGCTGGGGTGATAGGCCCAGTGGAGCAATTGCCCTTTGGGGGAAGGGAAACAATCATACCTCTGGTTTACCCCTGGTCTGCAGGGTACCCCAGATCCCTCATAACATATCCTACTCCCTATGCAACTTTGTGCCTTTGACTGTCTCCTAGGTCTGTAGGTACTCTCTGCAGAGTTCTCAGGCCCTTCATTGTGGATAGGGGTTGCTGACACCTTGGCTTCTGGAACCCTGTCATGCTCAGCACCTCTCTCTGTGTTTGGGAAGAATGGGGGCAGGAGTGGCAGCTATCTCCTCTGCCTTTTGGTTGTGCAGCCCTTAAGAGAGTGTCCCAAGCTGGGCTTGGTGGCACATGCCTTTAATCACAGCACTCAGGAGGCAGAGACGAGGATTTGTAAGGCCAGGCTGGTCTACACCAGAGTGAGTTCCAGGACAGCCAGGGCTATGTAGAGAGGCCCTGACTCCAAAAACCAAAAAGAGACAGAGAGAGCTCCTGGGGGCAGGATCGGATCCCTGCCTTGCTCAGTGCCTCCTGGCCTTGATCTCTATTCTCCAAGGGGTCTATACATTTCTAAGCCTGCCCCTCCCACGTCTGCATGTGTGTTACAGTCTACAGCCAAAGCATAGCCCTTCTCCCTGCAGCCCCATCTGTCTCCCACTTTTGGGAGGGGTGTGTATGACTGACATGTGCCTCCAGTGTGTGTAGAGTTAACCTCGAGGTGGGTTTTGCGGAGGCATTGAGACTGAAGCAGTGGACAATCCCCAATGCCATCTGTAGGTCTGGAACTGCACTCTTTTTGTTGTTGTTAACACGAATATATTTTAGGGCTGTAGATTTATTTTCCTGGTTTTGTTTCTGTTGCTTACTTTTGAGCACAAATTATGATAGTCGATTACATTTATATATCACCTCGTTGAGTTTCCCAAACTTTTTTTTTAACACAACTGTTGGGATTTTACTCTCTCTCTGGCCTAAAAATAACTAGGACAGGATTCCTTTTTCTTCCTCAAGAGACCTGAGCAGAAGTTTGGTTAAACAGTATTGTGGGGTCATGATGTGAAAGCTTGTATTTCAGACCCTACCTTCTGCTTGCGGGCCTTGCCTATGAAGCCAGACAGAAAGAAACCTTGGAAGCTCACCTGTAGGCCTTGTGGACAAGGGGTGGGAGTGTAAGACTGGTTTTCAATCTTGGCCATCGCCTACTTTTGGTTTGGATGCCTTATACCAAAGGGAAATAGTCTTCATTAAAGTTCGTATTTCTTCTACCTCGGCCTCTCAAAGCCTCTGGAAAGTCTGATTGATGGGGGCGTCAGTGGGAGTTGGCGACGGACCCGACCTGGGCTAAGTCGATTGGGCTCAAAGCCAGCGCCTGTCCGTGGCAGGATTTGGGGGCCAGTGAGACTGCGCGGTAGGGACGTATCTGAAAGGCGATTGGTTC